CACCCCCCCCACCCTCGCCCCAGGGCATGCCGGCTCCATTCCCGCTGTGTGCCCTTGAGTAAACTGCCTCAGCACTTCAGGCCTCAGTCTCTCCATCTTGTAAACTGAGGATAACAGGCCTCTCCCATTACATTCTTTCCCCTCCCCCCACCAGCAGGGCAGGAGCCCTGGACAGGGCTTGTCACAACACAGACGGCCACCCTGAGTTTCCAAGTCAGGAGGTGTGGCCTGGGGCCTGAGAATTCGCATTTCCACCAAGTTCTTAGGTGATGCTGCTGCCGGCCTGGGGACCCCCACTTTGAGACTGCTGCCCTCGCCGTGCTGCTCCCAGCATCTGGAATTGGCTCCCGAGTCTGTGAATGTCCACCCTCACCCAGTCCTGCTCAGCTCACAGCCTTGGTGGCATCTGCCCTGTGGGCACTGGACTGGGCTCCCTGGGTCTGTCTCTTGCCTGCCTGTCTTGCATGTACCCTTAATGGGACATCCCCTGTGCTCGTTACACCTCAGCTGGGGCTTTTTCTGGGGTAACAGATGTGTGACTTAAGAGGGGGCCCGAGGAGGAGAGCAGATGCAGGAGAACCGAGATACCCAGCACGACTTGCCCCTGGCTCTGCGTTTTGTATTTACACAGAGTGGCCACATAGCAGTGGACATAATTACTCCTGACGGCCTTCATTAAAAGCTCTGGAGCAATTTACAGTCAATTAAGGAGAAGGGAGCTGCTTCCCTCCTCAGGCATCATGCCCCCCCACTCCCCCACCCCACCTGCTTCAAGGGAGTCCTGACCAAGGAGATATGGGTGTGGTAGAGGGGTGGGTGCTTCAGGCCCAAACAGGGAGGAGAAGTGGGGGCAGGGGGAGGGCAGGGACATAGTAGGAGGGTGGTGTGGCTTCTGAAGCCAGTGAACCCACTGTTCTCACAGTCAGCAGCCAAGCCATCTGTCAACTGCTCTTGGCTGAGCACTCCCAGCTGTGAAGGAAGGTGCTCTGCTGCCTCCACTGTGCTGAAGCCACCAGCTGGCCCTTTGCCTCTGGGAGCCCCAGTGTTCTCATCTGTAAAGTGGGGCTGATCCTGTGTACTTTGCAGAGCTGTTGTGATTGTTGGGGAGATGATGACTAGGGTGAGCACAGGGCCCGGCCCCCACCAGGCGCTCAATGGCAGGGATGTAATTCCTGTCCTGCCTGGGGAACCTCACCTGCCCCTGCCTGCTCAGGTGCTTTCTAAAAGCAAAAGTCTGTTCAGATGTTGGCAGCCCAGTGTCCCCCTGAGCCTGGCTCAGGCTCTGCTTTACTCTTGGGGCACAGGAAACTAGAAGACACCACAGAGAATGCCCCGTGGCGCCTGCCCCTCTGGGCGGGACCTGTGATCGCACAGAGCCTTGGAGCTGAGGGTGAATAACCTTTTCTTTTGTCCGAAGACCAATTTAGGAAAATTACGATGTTTACCAGCCACATTTCCCTCCATCTAAAATGAATATAGCTTCATCGAGTGTCATGGGGGGCAAGGAGTAGGAAAGAGAATGTATATTTTTACAACTTGGATTATCCACTTTATGGACTAGAACCATGTCAATGAGAAAAGTGGCGCTGCTTTTTAATCCCCCAAATATAGACATCTGAGTCTATTTGAGAAGTGGCAATGAGGAGGCTGCATTCTGAAATCAGATCAGGGGCCACATCAAGAAGACAGGGTGCCTGGGAGCCCCAGGGTGCTGTCCCTGCTCCAGCGTGGTGCCCACATTTGGTGAGATGACATTTGGGCAGTGACATATGACATGTGACAGCACAGAGCCTGACACACCATCAAAGNTGGGAACCAGCTGAAGGTGTGATTTACAAGAGCTGAAAACCCTCCACCTGCTTGGGGAGACGGTGGCGGGCAGAGCTGACTTTGAACTTGTCATTACTCCCGGGCCCAGCTGCTCTTTACATGGCTCAGGGGACCTATAAGCCTGACTGCCCAACTACAGCTTAGCCCAGAACAGGAGGTCAGGTCCTTCTGTCAGCTCTTGGCCAAGAAAGGATTTGGACACCCAGGAAAGTGGTCCTTTGGTGCAAGGATCTCCCTGAAGGTCCCGTCACCTGAGTGCCTTCCTCTTCCTCTGCCCCGTCTGTGCACAGCCCACTAAGCAGTGGGAGGGGAGGCACAAGGTCTGGTTCTAACCCCAGCTCTGCTACTTATGAGCTGTGTGTAACCACAGGGAAGTCCCTGAGTCTGTCTGAGCCTCCTTTGTTCCCTCTGGAAATGGGGATGATTGTACGTGTCTGCCTGACTTCACAGGGAGCTTTATGAAAGAGGCTGAAAACTAAATTGCTGTACGAGTGGCTGACATTGTTTTTCCTGAGCCATTTGTCTTTAAGTGCCTCCTCTTCCAGGAAGCTCTCTGTTGCATCTTGAGCAAAGGTGGACTGTTATCACTGACTACTTATCCTCTTCCTGCCTCAGTTTGCTCCTTTGGACAATGGGGATGATGATCATACTGTATATACTCATAGGATTGTGGTGAGGATTAAGTAAGTTCATTTCAGGCATTTAGAATTGTGCTTGGCACTAATAGATGTTAACTATTATTGTTGTCATTGACTAGTGCTTTCCCAATAGGTGAGAAGCAGGTTGGGGACAGGAATGATGCCCTAAGTAGCCAAAGCTCACTGTGCCTGACACATAAATACTTGGTATGGTTTTATGCATTACTCTTCCAAGGGCCACTTTCACTTTCCTGGTGGAAGAGACCCAGAGGTCCCTGGTCCAGCTCCCAGCCTAACCAGGAATCCTCTGGGCACAGCTCTCTGCCAACAGGTAGTATAGGCGCTGGATGGGCAACTCCCTATCTCACCAGGCAGTGAGTGCCACCCGCCACCTAATGGACTAATCTCCTCCTGCTCCCCACCCATCCTGGTCCGCCTAGAGCTTCCGGAAGTCAGGCTGCCCCTCTTCACNCTTATCACAGCCTGTCACCTACCATGCCCCACAGACACTCTGCTTTCCAGCCATGGTGACGCACTCAGCACCCAACACCTCATGCTGCCACACCACTGCACCTTCACCTGTGCTGGTCCCTTGGCCAGGAGGCCCTCTCCCCTTCCTTGTCTGGTCAATTCCTACTCATTTTCCAGGTTGTAGCTTAGATGTCACCTGCTCTGTGAGACCCCGCAGCCTCCCCCACACCCACCCTCTGGGTGCTTTGTATTTGTCTTGATGACAGCCCTTACCGAGTTCTGTCTTGCTACTTGTGTGTAACTCCCCATTGGTTGCTCATTTTTTACTTCTTACTTTTATTAATATCGACATTACAGTTAATTATAATTTTCACATTTATGTATAATGTAGGATTGTGAGTGATAATATTAGCCAGCGTTTATTGATCGCCAGCCTCCCGCTGGGGCCTCCATTAAGCATTTTAAGTGCATGGCCTCCTATAGGTCTCATGGCTACTTTCAGAGAGAAGTGTCATCTCCATTTTACAGCCGAGCCCGCATGTCCTCTGTGCCAGCACAGTACTCCGTACAAAGGGGGCTCGACAGATGCTGGATGAGTAAGTAGAGGAATGAATGTGAGAGTGAAAGGATGTGTGGATGGTGAATGTCTTGCCAGTTTCCCTCTCCTTGTGTCCCTGTCGCCTGTATGTCGCCTGAGATCGGTGCACATGGAGCCAACTTGCCTAGGCAGACACCCCCCCACCAGTACCCCCAAAGCATCTCAAGCCACGATTCAGGTGATCATGCCCACGCTAATCACCTACACGACTAAATTAGTCTTGTCAGGAGCCATTAGGGCGGGAGCTGGGGTTCATTAGGATGGATCGGGCCCAGGCAGCGCCTGGCACCGCTGCCAGTTGGCACTGATTAATTTCTCTGCAAACTCCATCAATGCCCAGCTGTTTCGTCTGGACCCAGGGAGAACAATTTTCAGGTGGGCTGACCCCACGTCAGCAGTCCCAGCAGACGAAGAAGCGGTGCCCCTCAGGCACATGGACAGCTCCCCACAGGGGCGGCTCCCACGGAGCACGGAGTGGGAAGCGGCTGTGAATGGCAGACTGTGTGGGCAGCAAACACTCAGGGATGGCAGGATGGCTGGATATGGGACTCTGGAGAGGGACGAGTGGAGAGGAATGGGAGAGAACGGCGTCTGGGAGGTCTCAGAACCCAGTGTCCTGGCAGGGGCTGTCCTCCTTTGCCTGTACCCCCCTCCCTTGTCTCTTTAAAGAAAAGAAATCATCTCACAGGAGAGGCTGGAGGACCACAGGGGGAGAATGATTTCTCTCTTAACTGGGGGTAGGACTGACACGAGGGAGAGGGGGTCGTGGTACCCCAGCGCAGTTCCTCGGCAAGGGCTAGTGGCAAAGCTCCAGGAATTGCAGGATGTGGATGTGAGGAGTCCAGTGGGTCCCAAACATCAGCTGGGTGTGTGCTCTGAGCATGGCAACCACCAGCAC